TGGAGGATATTCAATCTCTTCTCTTCTAGCCATTTGATAACATGCAGTAAGTTAATGTTAATTATAGCTGCCTAGCTTGACTGTAAATCAAAAGAACTTATTTTTCCTAACTAGCTATTCTGTATCCATTAACTAACTTCTCACTTTTCTTCTCCCTCCACCTTTCCCATTTCTAGTAACCACAGTTCTGTTCTCTCCTTCTGAAAGTCCAATGTATTGTGATTGTTCTTTCTTTCTTTCCTTGTTTATCATTTATTTATTTATTTATTTATAGCTCCCACTTATGAGTGAGGACATAAATGCAGTATTTCTTTTTCTGTGCCTGGCTTATTTCACTTAACATAATTTTCTCCAAGCTCATTCATACTGTTGCAAATGGCAGAATTTCATTCTTTTTTATGGCTGTGTAGCATTCCATGGTATATATACTACATTTTCCTTATCCAGTTGTCCATCAGTGGACATTCAGGTTGTTTCCATACCTTGGCTATTGTAAATAGAGCTGCAATAAACATGGGGGTACAGGTATGCCTTCAACATGATGATTTACATTCCTTTGAGTATATACCCAGTAGTGGGATTGCTGGATCATATGGTAGATCTATCTGTAGTTTTTTGAGAAACCTCCATATTATTTTCCATAATGGCTGTACTAATTTGCGGTCCCACCAACAATGTATAAGCATTCCTCTTTCTCCACATCTTGCCAGCATTTGTTATTCTGTCTTTTTGATAATAGTCAGTCTAATATGGGTGAGATGATATGTCAGTATGGTTTTGTTTTGATACTTAGTCATTATGAGCATTTTTTCATGTAGCTGTTGTCCATTTGTATGTCTTCCTTTGAAAAATGTCTATTCAGCTCATTTGCCCATTTTTTGATAGGATTTTTTTTTTTTTACTATTAAGATGTTTGAGTTCCTTGCATGTTCTGAATATTAATCCTTTGTTGGATGCATAGTATGCAAATCTTTTCTCCCATTCTGTGGGTTGTCTTTTCACTCTGTTGTTTCCTTTGCTGTGCAGAAGTTTTTTAGTTTTATATAATTATCACATTTATTTTTTCTTTTGTTGCCTGTGCTTTTGAGGTCTTATTCATAAAGTCTTTGCCAATCCTATTCCTGAAGTGTTTCCCCATGTTTTCTTCCAGGAGTTTTATAAGGAGTCCTGAGGGATTCTCCTTTACCAGAGGAATCCCTGACCCATGTGGGTTCAAGTGCTCCCTGCTATAGGATTGCCAATCACACCCACCAGACAGAACTTAAAGGAAAGGCTTTTTATTTTGGAAGACATTGACTGGGAGACAGGGTAAAGTCCCAACTGCCTCCCCGATTGACTGAGGGCTGGGATTTATATAGATAGTTATATGGGGAGACAAGATGTCTTCAAGAATGATGGATAACTGTTTCCTACTTTGAGAGCTGGAGATGTATTGGGATTTATCGGATGAAACAGAGTTCTTTGAGAGATGTATCGGGATGTTTCAGGCAAGACAGAATGCTTTGATAGATGTATTGGGAGAGACAGGCTGTCTGTTTTTGATATGATCTTAGTTAATCATTAAGGGCTAACTATAAAGTGAAAACAAAGCTAGTTCTACAGTGGATACACTGTAGAGTGGGGTGGGTTCTACATTTACATTTTCTACATTCTCATATTTAAGTCTTTAATCCATTTTGAGTTGATTTTGGTATTTGGCAACAAGTAAGGGTCTACTTTCATTCATCTACACAAGGATATCCAATTTTCCCGGTATCATTTATTGAAGAAGCTGTCCTTTCTCCAATGTATGTTCTTGGTGCCTTTGTTGAAGATCTGATGGCTGAAAGTAAGTGGATTGATGTCTGGGTTCTCTATGCTGTTCCATTGGTCTGTGTGTCTGTTTTTATGCCAGTACCATGATGTTTTGTTTACTATAGTTTTGTAGCATAATTTGAAGTCAGGTAGTGTAATACAGTCAGCTTTTTTTTTTTTTTGCTCAGGATTGCTTTGGCTATTTGGGGTCTTTTATTGTTCCATATGAGTTAGGATTGGTTTTTCTATTTCTGTGAAGAATGTCATTGGTATTTTGATGGGGATTGCATTGAATTCTAAGTCGATTTGAATACATTTTCTTTAAAAGATTTTGTAAATTAATTGGGTAATTCAGTGGTCAAAAAATATCACATATACATAACATGTGTACATATATAAACATATGTAAGCATGCACACTGATTCAATCAGGTATTTTATAGCTTTCGTTTTAAAGATTGGTCATGGAGTTAATGATATAAAACTTACTACTTTATGTAAAATAGTTATATCTCATCTTTACACCACTTTATATTTTTATCAGAACCATGTTTCTGGCAAAAATGGGACAAGTTAAATTTACCTGTTCAACATGAGGCTAAAGTTTTTACCAACACCTGTGAAGGAGACCTTTAAGATTTTCACTGTCATGTTGAATAATCTAATGGAGGCTGTTGACTACACTAGGTGAGTGACTAAGGAGACATCAAGCAGCTGTTCGGATGTCTCCAAAGCTCATCTGAGTAGATAAAAATATCTAGCATATTTCCAATTAGCCCTTTCTCTTTTAAGCCTCAGGCTATTGGGGGGATCTGAGTCCCTTAAGTGTCCCCAATGGGAGCAGAATGCCTAAAGTTCAAGTGATTGTAGAGCACTGGGGGACTGAAGTGGAAAGGAAAGAGTCTGGCAGGGGTGAACAGAGGAATAGAGGAGGAAGAGGTCTGAAGGGGATGTATCAAGTGATTCAATGGAGTTGAAGGGAAGATCAAAGGTGGTAAGAGGAGGGAGGAGGAGAAGAAGTAATGGGAAAGGACAGGTCTTAAAGGAAGTAATGGGAAAGGACTGATCTTAAAGGAAGTAATGGGAAAGGACAGGTCTTAAAGGAGCCACTTCGGGGGATCTTAAGTTTCCCAAAGAGGCCAATGAAGTTCCAAATTATCTTCAACAAAAGCATGCCAACAAGAAGGAGCTGGATATATTTGGGAGAAGCATATAGTCAGCAGGAGATCATGAAGGGGATTTCAGTCCACTAAGGAGTTCTCATGAGACAGACAAGATCAAACAGAGAAAATAAAGCAGCCTCAGAAAGATCCAAGAAAAAATGTTTTCAGCCGAGGTGTCAGAGAGTGAATATCCACTCAAAACAAAGAGACAGGGGAAAAAGTCTTCTATCCCAGGAGTCAAAGAGTGCATCCTCACTTGAAATAAGAGAGCCAGAAAGAATTTTCCAGCCCAGAGCTAGGCCAAGGAGTCAGGAAATAAATCATCCCCACTCCAAACAAAAAGACAGGAAGACAGACCTCCAGCCCCACAGTAAATCCTGGACCTCTAGGGGGCCGGCCCAGTGGCGCACTGCTATAGTGCACCGCTTGGGAAGCGCGGCAGCGCTCCCGCCGAGGGTTCGGATCCCACATGCAGACCGGCCGCTCACTGGCTGAGCGGGGGCGGGGGCAGCACCGAGGGTTGCGATCCCGTGGCCGGTCCCGGTCCGGTGAGGGCGCGACACTGAGGGTTGTGATCCGTTGCCGGTCACGAAAAAAGACAAAAAAAAAAAAAAATCCTGGACCTCTAACCTATCTTCTGCTCTCCTGGGACTCTAACCCAGCTTCTTACAAACAGAAAGCCTAGGATTCTAACACAGCTTCTGTTTGTCTGCAACCCTAACCCAGCTTCTAGAGTACCCTCAGAATCTTAAGAATAAAAATCTGTTCTTACTGAGCATCAGTGAACTGTCATCCAGACCAATGGTTCAGGAGTCTGATTTACCGGTGGATCCCTGATCAATCAGTCAGGAGCAAAAACAAAGCCTTCAAAGGCACACACTTAGGGTCCTAGGTGAGAGGCCCAGGAGCCCAGTGATGAATCTGGTCATAACCAAGTTGGTGAAAAGGACAAGGTGCTATGTCTTATTCATATATAATATCCATCCCAATTACACAGTCAGGTGTTAAAACTCTCCACCCAAAGACCACTAGGAGCACATCTGGATTGAAACAGTTGGAGTTCTCACTTGTTTCAGTGAAGGAGAGCACACACAGTGGGGAAAAGCAGGGAGTATCTTATTACCAGGATGTTAGAAAGAACTTATTATAGAATTTAGGCACATAACAAGAGATTGGGAGAAGGATTAGGGAAGTTAGGCTATGTTCTGGATTGGATGCTGCCAGCAAGCACAAACAATGCTAAAATTTCTATATAATGCTAAATCTTCTATAAGGTTTTCAAGACAACATTAGATGTCTTAAAAACCTTATATAAAAGGAATGCGGACTAAAGTTAAGCCTATAATGGGTAATGAAGCAGCAATCACTCATTGAGTGAAAGAGGGAAATGTTTGGTAGTCTGTGGTTTGCATAGTATTTTTGTCATATGAGCCCATTATGAATTGGTCTTGCTTTTTTGTCTCATTTAGTCAGTCACTGAGTGACCTTGTCTGATGCCTGTGTTTTGTGAGATTGTTTGTGTCCACCAGGAGAACACCATTGCCTAGCTATGAGCACGAGCTCACCCTCTAAAAACTCCAAAGCATGGCTGCATCAGGCCAGTACCAAGATATCAGAAACTGCTTTCCTCTTTCTCACCTGCTAAGTCATTGCAGATAAGAAAATAAGTTTGTGTCAGTTGATAGAAGAGTTTGGTGGAAACAAACTGAACGTTTGTACCTGTTGACTAGTGCATTCATGTTAGAGAAATCTCTCGTTTCTAGTATTATGCCCATAACCGGGTGTCTTTCTCAAACAAATAAATAGAAAATAAAAACTTGGGTAAACATGTAGAAAGTCCAGTCTTCAACAGGAACACAAGGAAGTATGAGGTAAAATTTAAAGTGCCTGTCACTTGGACTGTCTAAACATTAGAAAACCACCCAACCTTTAAAAAACATGCTATTTTTGATGTTGCTCGTGACTACTATTTATTTGAAAAAAAAATAAACTGATTAGAGATGAGGGAGATGTTGTAAGCAAGTTAAGTCATTGAATAAAATCAAATGAAGGCATGTTCTGGCACGGCCCAGGAGAACCAGATGCAGAAGACCTAGGCTGATTCGATCTCAGCCACGCAGCACACCAAGAATTGAGTCCCAGAAACCTGCAAGGGAAAAAAATATATCGTCAAAAGGTTTCCATAAAGGATGAAGAATGTGGCTTCATACTTTGGAATCTGAACAGGGATTAACAAGTGTCACATGTCACTAAATTCAGTGGAGTCAAAAGGAACATGACATTTTCATTTCTGGAAGGTATATAACCAATTTCTGTCCAAAAGAATGTGGATATGCAATCCTAGATGTAAGCCTATATAGTCTGGAAGTTTAGAGAGACCAGGAAAGAGGTCAATTCACATTAGTTTTCCCTATAATATGGCACAAAGTGATTCAGCCATCTTCTAAGGGAGAACTAGTCATTTTCTCACCTATAGCTTACTGAGTAAGAATTACTATGCAAACGTGTCAAGCACTGGTCCAGACATGAAAGAGTATAAAGCAATACTTGAAAAAGTGTCCTCAGGAGTTTGATTGTTTGAATGCAAATCTAATCCCTTTTCTTACTGCCCATGTGTTCAAGGGAAAGGTTCTCGTTGTAACTTTTTCATTTCCTCATCTTTAAAATGTTTATTTCAAAGAATGACTGTGCAATTTAAATTACATTACATATGTAGGGTCTTCAAAAAGTTCATGGCAAGATTTGTATTATCTTTTAATTCTATTTTTCCATGAACTTTTTGAAGCACTCTTGTATGTGAATTTTATGCCATGGTGCCCGGCATATATTCAGAGTCACCAAATTTTATAACAAACATTACCTGAAAGTTGAAAGGCAGGAAAAAAAAATGAACATGGAATAGAAAAACTGTATCTTGATCCTTAATAAACTTCCAAATTCTCAGACATATCCTGAATAGCACTCAAAACAATCTGTCTCAGGAAGCCTCATCGTAAAGCCATTTTCTATTTTCTATTTCTGTAATATTCTCCAAATGAAACAAAGAATTTTCATATTAAAAAAATATACAAGCAGTTGCCTTGGCATATGAAGGCACATATTTGTTCTTTCCAATGAATAATTTCTATTAAAGATGAATGTTCTTTAATAAATGCCAATATTTCAAGAGCAATGCAGTTAAAATTGGTAACCTAAAAACTGCAATGGCTTGGCTTCTTTGATATTTGTTTATAAACTTGATTTGGAAAAACCACAAGAAATTAGAGAGGAGTGTGAAGAAAACCAGGCCATGTTCATTGCTTTTCCCTTCCTGCCTCCCAAATTATAGTTTCTACTATAATCCAGAAGCCACATAAATGAAGCACTTACTTGTAGTGGTCTTTCTCCTAATGGTGGCAGGAGCAGCAGTGCGCTTGGTGGCAGGAGCAGCAGTGCTCGTGCTGGCAGGAGTAGCAGTGTTCGTGGTGGCAGGAGCAGCAGGGTTAGTGTTGGCAGGAGCAGCAGTGGTCTCGTCGGCAGGAGCAGCAGTAGAGCTTTCTACAGGGGCATCTGGTGCTAGGAGGAAAAGCTCCAGGTGAGACTGACTATTACTCAAAGATCAAAATTTGTCCCATCGAGTCTTGGACATACATGCATTCTTCATCCTGAATTCATCTCTGCAAATCTATCACCAATTCTGTCATACCATTAGCCTGCCCACCCACTTTCCTCTTGCCTCCTTCTTCCTAGTCCTCTCCTTGCTGGGACATAGATTTGGGGGTTTCCTTCTGCTGTGGATTGAATATTCTCCAAAACTCACTGAAGCTTGATCCACATTGTAAGTATTAAGAGGATGGGAAATCAGACTATTACAGTGTTGAAAGGTGGGACCTTTAAGAGGTGATTGGATCATAACAACTATGCCCTCCTGAATGGATTAATCCATTCATGGATTAATGGGTTAATGGTTTAATGGGTTGTCACAGGAGTGGCACCTGTGGCTTTATAAGGACAGCAAGCAAGCACATTAAAGATCTCTTACCATTCTTTCCATGCGATACCCCATGTTCCCACAAGACTCTCTAGAGAGTCCCCATCAAGAGGAAGGCCCAGATGTGCCCCCTGGATTGTGGACTACCCAGCCTCCCAAACTGTAACAAATAAATTTCATTTTCTTATAAATTACCCAGTTTCAGGTATGCTGTTAAAAGCAACAGAAAACAGACTAATACACTTTCCAATAGAAATGACACTGATAGAAGAGACAGGCAAGTACTTTGCGCCAGCATAAGCACAAAAGACCAAATCCACATGTGCTCTTATTCACAGGGACTACTGCCCAGAGCAATAGTGAATCCCCAGTGGCCTGACATTCTAATGCCTTCCCAGGAATGACCTAGAAATGCATACATTCCACTGCTACATGAATGAGGGTGAGTAAAGGAAAAAAATTCTAAAGTAGAAGAGAAGGAATACTAAGATGTATCTCATATTAGAGTCATATCTCCTGTCTTAGAGTGCAGTAAGATCTTTTCCATCAGATTCTTGCCTGAAAAGGAGTCATAGTTGTCTCACCCTTTGTGACAACTTGGATGCTATTAGAAGAGTAGTTGTGAGAGCCACATTAGACATAATGGGAAACATTGGTACACTTATGTTGATAATAAAAATGAGAAACTATCCCATTAATTACTACATGTATAAAGTAAGTGGATAAGAGAGTTAAGAGAATTATCTCTTCCTGGACTTCACATCAGAGCCACTGACAAAGAGAAAGAGTCAGACCCCACATTAGTGAGTTAAACCCACCTCACCAACCGGTAGCTCCATCTCCATACCCACACTCTAGCCATGCTGTCTCAGGCCTCATTCAGGACAGAGAAATTTTTTTAAATTGGACTTCACATGGCAGGTAGGACCTAGGGCCCAGTGTAAGCTCTGACTAGAGTCAATGCCCTTATGACCAAAGGATGCAATTTCCCAAGTTGTGGAGGATTGAGAGTGATCCTCATAATTTGTACATGAGCAAAACTCACACAGCATAGAATACACAGGACGCTTTGGGAGAAGACCAAGAATAACTAGGGCTTCATTTCTACAACCTCAATTTTCAGGTCAGAGAAGGGAAACAACCATCAGCCTGGGTATAAGGCATACATACCTTTACAAAGAGCAAATTTAGACTCCTTCCACCTGACCTCTACATTCCAAATCCCACATCCCATCCTCACACGCAGTTCAAACATCCTCTTTTTATACCACTTTTAAAATTATAATTTCTTCATTCTGGGACCAACTGACTGTTTTTTACACACTAGCCATATACTCAACCCTTCATTTTATAAAAGGCTCTACATACATCTCCCCAAAATTCTCAGGCCACAATATCAGACCTCATGCCCCTGTGCCTTCTGCTGAGAAACAATGAATAGTAATCCACATTTGTATGGCTCTGTCATAGATTTCATATTCTCTAATAATATATAAGAGATAAACAGATTAACTATGTTCACAATAAACTTTAGAATTAGGAATACAGCTTTGTCGGGCTTCTGCTTAGGATTCCTTATAACTTAGAATATCCGCATGGAATGTGACTGTTTGACCTGAAGCCGGAAGTAGAAAACAGTCATTGCAGGAAAGAGATGAAGTGCAAGAGCAGACTTACCAGAAGTAGAGGTGTCAGTTGAAGCAACTGTTGTCACATTTTCTGAAAGAGAAAAAGAAAAAAATAGGATGTAAGATGAACACGGTGTTGGGGATGAAGAGAAAAGAGACTATGGGCAAGATGGAAATCTTTCACAATGGGAGAGCTCAGTCGTTATGCACAGGTAATATAAAACCCAGGAAAACCCATAAAAAACACAATATATGGTCATTTCTCCTTTCTTGAAATAAACCCCTGTTTACCTTCTGAAATGTATTTTACTGACAGTAACAATGAAGTTGGGTTATTACTGAGCAAAGATCTGACTGAATTAGAAAAGTCTAAGGACAGAGTCAATCCCATCTTGAACAGTCAAAATGGTGATGGAACAGTTAGAAGGGTTGAGGACAGGAGGTGCCAGCATTCTAGGCTCCCCAACACACAGCCCCACAAAGTGGCTATTTTTATATACTGTTCCACCAAACCTTATGGTTAGATAAGGATCATTACTTACGGCCAGAGACCAGGAACATGGAAACGCCCACCAGGACTAGGAGTGCTAAGAGCTTCATGGTGGTGAACTGAAGATGAGGACAGACAAACAGGAATGTTTCAGAGCCCAAGAGTAGGCAAGACAGCAACTTCAGGTCTCCACATCCTGACAATATATATGAAGAGGACACTAATCAGGAGCTGCCAAATCAGAATCTGGGGTAGTTAATGCCAGGAAAGGTTGGGGCTCAGAGAAACCACAGAAGAATCAACAACACAGCCAGAGGCCCTTTGGAAAGGTCATGACTTCAAACCCTTGATTCTGATGACACAGGTTTCAATTCAAGAGTTTCCCATATTAAATATTTTATAGGCAACATCTTTTCCTCCAGGCTTCCCCTTATTTGTGCCTTCATAATCACCAGCTCTTCCAATAAGTTAGAGATGCCCCATAACCAGCCTTTCTGATGTCTGCAGTGCTCCTTTCACAGATATTAGGAGTTAGAAGCTTACAGTGTGCTTAGCCCTGTTTTCTCAAAGAGGAAAAATCAGAGTAGAACACCTGATTCAAGGACCATCCTGTGTAAGTCAGATTGTGCATTCTTCAAGCCATGGCCTCCTCCTGTGTATGTGGTTAACGTCATATGACTCTGGTACACAGTAAGTCCAACCGTGATCTAAAGAGCCAAATCTGACCTCAGTGGGTTTAAGCAATTCTTATTTAAAAATTCAAAATCAAAGAGTAAAGAGAAAACTTACTAACATGTTACTTAGTTCATCTATTGAATCAATTCATTCATTCAACAAATATACATTGAGCACTATTATGTGCTGGGCACAATGCTATACACTACAGAAATAGCAATAAGCGACACACACTAAAATTTTATGCCATACATGCTTTTGTGGGACTTTATACATAAAAAAGTAAGGAAATAAAGTAAAAGAAATAAAGAATACAATGTGTTATATGTAAGGTGATAAGGTCTAATAAAAAATGATACAGAAAAGAAGGAGAGTGTGGCTGGAGATGGAAAGAGGGGTTGTAATTTTAGATAAGGTGACCAAAAAGACCTTACTGTAAAGGTGATATTTTGAACGGAGACTTGAAGGATCTGAGAAATTAACCATGTGGAGTGTTGGCATCATGTATTCAAGGAAAGGAAACAATGAGTACATATGCACTATGGTCTTTCAGGTCTCTGCAGTTGCTGAGTAGTATCCAGCACTGCACCAAATTACATCAAACTACTTGTTCTTTGTTGTGATCAAGCCAGGCTGCTAAATGAACACAACATGGGAGGAGAAAATCTACATTCACACCACAGCCGAGTGCTGCATCCAACCAGGGCCCCAAGGATAGGTGCTGAACATCTGGAATTCCCAGAATGGAGGAAATTCACTACATTCTAAAGGCTTCTCCTCACTTATATGAGGCAACTTCAAAAAGTTCGTGGAAAAATAGAATTAAAAGATGATACATATCTCTCCATGAACTTTTTCAAGACCCCTTGTATGCCACTAATTGTTTTTAAAAATTCTTCTTGTTCATACAAAGTATGCCCTTTTGTATCATACCTGTATTGGGAAAATTGCTGTCATCTGAAATGGCTTGAACATCTCCCCTTTTTACTGGAGGATCTGTCAGTCAACAACAGCCACTCTACTTGCCAAGACATGGTAGTGGATTCCATCAGGTGAATGGAGAAAGGCATAGGGAATGCCTGAGAGAAAGGTCTTCAAACCATGTGAGGCAAATAGATGTCCTTGTCATAGGTATCCTCACCTCCGCCCTGAGGCACAGAGTTGTGATGCCATGGTGAGGGTCAGCATAAAACAATGCTTTAAAAAAAAAGTTTAAAGGGAAAGATAAAGAACAAAATATTAAAAGGAGGTAAAGAAGAAAGACATAAATGACAGGTACTATCTGATTATTCCTAATATGAAATAAACCCTGCAACTACCCATACAAGGTCTCCCACCTGGACTCTGCTATGAATTGAAAGGTCTTCTAGGAGGTGGTTACTTACTGACAGCCCACTGTGTGCCCTCCACAGAAGCACTGAGACCCACTAGACAGAGTTAAGGCCATGACAGACTTGCCAAGGAAAGAAGATTAAACGTGTGTATCAGTTAGGGTCCACCCAGGAGATAGAAAGCACAAAGTCGATTAAGCAGGGGTTTGATATAAAGAATTACTAAATATAAATATATAAAGAATTACTAAAGTCTGATAAATGAGTAACTATAAGGAAACGCTATATGAAATCCTTGGGCTGAGGGAGAATACCCAAAGAAGGACAACTATGGAAAGGGGCCTCCTCCCTAAAGCTGGTGTTCAGAACTCATTGGAGAACCAACCTGCTGGATAGCAGAGAAGTTTCTGGTTTGCCCAGCCTACAGCTATTCTGCAGTTGCTGGGGAAGCAGGGAACAACCAGCCAGAGTCCAGGAGGGAGCAGACAATCAGCAACCAGAGGCCTGAGTCTACAAAGCGGGTGGGAGCTCAGGGTGCAGGTGAGCCACACAGGGCCTGTAACAGTTCTGAGGCTTTATTTTTCTGAAGTTACTGGATTTTGATGATATTGTAATGTTTCAAATTGTATGTTTTCAGTATTATCATTTGTAGTGGATTGAATTATGTCCCCCCCAAACTCATTGAAGCTTGAATTGTGTCTCCCAAGTTTTATGTATTAGAAACTTAGCCCCCACTGTGACTGTTAAGAGGGTGGGAAATCCTATTATGGTAATTGAATGGTGGAGACTTGAAGAGGTGATTGGATTGTAGGACCCTGCAGTAGTGAATGGATTAAAAATGGGGGTCAGGGGTATGGTTCTGAGGGCTTTAAAAGAAGAAGAGAGTCTGTCTCTCTCCCTCTCTCTGCTCTCTCTGCTTCCACTGTCCTGCAATGTGAGACCCCTGAGTCACAGTTGCCACCACCAGATGGACTTTGGACTTCCCAGCCTCAGAAACTGTAAGCAATAAATTTCATTTTCTTTATAAGTCACCCAGTTTCAGGTATTCTGTTATAGCAACACAAAGCAGACTAATACATCATTTTAAGAGGAATCTAAAATTTAATTACAAGTATCATATGTAAATATATAAAATAAACTCGGAAATAATGTCAGTTTTTTCCCATTAAAATAAATAGCATTATATGTATTGGGCATGTTATATGAAAATTAAACTAAAAGATTTCCAACATCTATAAATAATTCCATTTTTATGGCATCTGTCAAGTTTTATGTGATATATTTTATGTAAAACCATATATTTTATGTACAATAAAACATCTATCTCCCTAGTGCTGTCTCTCTGTCTCTCTTTCTTTCCCTGTATGTGATATACCTCATATATATGTATATACAAGTAATACGCTTGTAATAAATATACTTGTGTAAATAGATGAGTGTATATATGTACTAAGAAAGTCAAATTAAATAGATAATGTATCTCCAAACTTTTTACTACTGCTCTTTTCCATAACTTAACTATTTTTACATTTTCATTAGAAAAATTAAAGTAGAAGTATGGGTGAGAAAGTAGAAGTTGCCAGACCTATGAACACAATAATTGCCATTATTTTTTTTTTTTTTTGTCTTTTTTTCCGTGTCCGGCAACGGATCTCAACCCTCAGTGTCGCCCCCATACCGGACCAGGACCGGCAACGGGATCGCAACCCTCGGTGTTGCTCCCGCGCCTCGCTCAGCCAGTGAGTGGGAACCGGTCTGTATGTGGGATCCGAACCCTCAGCGGGAGCGCCACCGCGCTTCCCAAGCGGCACACTATCGCAGTGCGCCACCGGGCCGGCCAATAATTGCCATTATTAACTGGTACTTATATATTCCTGAAAATTATTATGCATATATAAACACACAAATAAAGTTATTTATCCCTACTCCTTCATGCCTAGTATTCCATACTCTCACTGTCATCACTACCAAAAATAAAATGTTAAATAAATTTCTCCATATTCTGATTACAATAGGCAAAAATGTATACATGCAAATGACCATATCTTTGTGTCTTTAAAAATGCTGCACAAAAGTGGCATTAGACTATGGATCATTCATTCTTCTTTGTACACTCAAACTACTTCTTAGAAATGTTAGCAACTACGTATCTGTAGCTTTCTTTCAGCAGCTTTATTATGTCATAATTTACAACAGTATTACCTGCTCATAGGAATTCAGGTGGGTTTTTTGTTTTTGTTTTGTTTTGTTTTGTTTTGGTGCTATCCTATCATGAAGCCATTGATATGCTTTTTAACATGCCATTACGTACAGAAAGTTCTATATCTATATGATAGATCTCCAGAGGCTTTAAAAGGCATTATCAAACTGCTTTCCCAAAGGGCTCTGAAAATTAAAATAATAAAAACAAAATATCAGAGCATGTTTATACAGCCATCTCTGCCAGCAGTAAATCTTATCTCAATTTAATTATGCCAAGCTCATAGTTCAGAAGCAATATTTGTTAATTTGCATTGCCCTGATTACAATAAGTTTGAGCATCTCCAATATACTTATGGGCAACTTGAATTTCCTCTTCTTGATTTGCCTATTCTAATCTTGTCGTCTATTGTGTTCCCTGCTCTTGTCTTTTTAATGACTATGAGTATATAAAAAATATTAACTTATTATCTTGTATAAAAATCACAAAGTTTTCCAATCTGAAAAATATGTTTAATTTTTATTCATATTATTAGATCTTTTAAATTCAAGTGATGTGATCACTTCTATTAAAATTTCTATATTAAACAATTTGAAAGACATGTAACTGGGTCATTTTATACTTGTGATAATCTAATATTCTTTCATGCAAAGATCATATCTACTCTTAATCCCCAGATTTACCCAACAATCACAAACCTGTCCCTAGTCATCACTGCACATCTTAATTGGGACCATCTTACAAAGGGTGATAGGCCCTGAGAGGAAAAGAAAAGAAGCTCCAACCTGAAGAGAGGTCTTTGAGTGGAGTATTTAGGACTCAGTTCAAAACCAGACCCCTCACCCCTCACCATACACCACACAGAAGGTGGAAGAACCTACAGCAGCCCTAGACTGGGATGGGCAAGGACGCACAGCTGAGATTCAACAAAACAAGAATTAACAAGGCACAAACTAACAATGGGTTCAGATACA